TACATCCATATTATTTTGTGTACTCTCAGGTGCCTGCTACAACTGTAACAAGAGTGGGCATATCATGCGTGACTGCCCAGAGGAGCAGGGAAATAAGAGCTGTTACCGCTGCAACAAGGAAGGGCACATTGCACGGGACTGCCCCGAGGAAGCTGTCAAAACTTGCTATCGTTGTAACAAGGAAGGTCACCTGGCTCGCGATTGTCCCGACTCCCTGGAGTTTGGTGGTGGGAGAGAGTGTTATAATTGTGGAGAGAGTGGTCATCTGGCCCGAGACTGCCCAAATAATACAGATGGAGGTAGACGTGGTGGTGGAAGGAGAGGCGACAGAAGTAGTGAAACTTGCCACAAGTGAGATTATGTTTTTATTTGTATAGTTGTACCCTCTTTCTGGAGTAATATGATAGATTGTTATTTTTTAAAGTTTCTGCTACTTTATCCTGGCTGTATAGTTTGAGTGCTTGTAAACCAAGACCACAGTAAGTGTTAATTATAATATGGTCTTAAGCCTGACCCAGCCACAAACCCACAGTTTTGCCCACTGGAAGTAAACTCAATATTGTTGTCCTGACTGACAATACATGTTCTCTATTCTCAACAGTGTCGCTCAACACTGCTGCCGTTTCATAAAGTAGTTCAAGTTGTTCAGAAATTTCTTAAAAGATTCATAAAACAAAAGACAAAGACCAAGTATGGAGCTCAAGATTGGTTCTATTGAATCATGTTATAATGACATATGTTTTGTTAGGATATTGGGAACAAAGCAATTTATCAGTTATGTTATATTAACAGGTGTGGTGAAGCTGGTCACTATGCTAGGGACTGTCCAGAAGCCAAGAAGGATGTCCAGTGTCGCAAGTGTGATGGCTTTGGTCACTTTGCTCGTGAATGCACTGCAGAAGTGTAGATGGAGGCACAATGCCTAGGCAACTAGATGGAATTGAAACTAATGTTGATGGAGTGATAAGATATTTAAGCTATCTGACCTTGGTATTTGTTGTTCTGTTGTTACGAAGCTATTATACTTTTATAAGTATGGTTGATTTGCATGTTCAGTCCTTGCATAGAATGGGGTGGGTCTCATTTGCTTGTTTTTAATTTTAGAAGTATATTGTTTTTAATCCTTTTTGTGCTTGTATTCAATCACTCTTTAGATCAGTTTGTTAGAAAGAATTAAACAATATATTGCTTATATTGTTTAACTAATATGATATCATAGTTATTTATTTGAGCAAAGATTGCTTTCATATTGCAGCTTGTCATAATTTTGTACAGAATTATTCAAATGGCACTTTTTGAATTTCACTCTTTTTGATAAAGAGGTGAAAGATACAGGTAGTAGAAAAAGTCCAGTGTATCTTCAGGGTGTTAATTGTAAAGCATAGAAAATTATTTATTTTGGAACCATTTTGTTTACCCTCAATATATACACAATATCACTAGTTATAAATGACATTTTTTCAGTGTACACTAAGGGTGGGGTTATTTGTTATATGACCACTTTCGTAGCTGTAAATATGAATGAATGTGAAGTTGAATTTTGAATCAAAATATATACTTTCCCCAGTGGCCTAGTAAGTAAAGCAGTACAGTTGGGACTTGGGATGGAAGGCAGCCTGCATCACTTCCATTACATGCAGTGAAATGGAAATGTTTGTTTGCACTGTTGTAAGTTTACAATATGCTGTACTAATTTTGCAGTTGTGAGAAGTAAGTGGTGGGGAAAAATTCTAAGGCAGCCATTCTGCATTTTGCTAAATGCATCATTTTTATTTGTAAATTTTTTATCAAGCCATTTAAGATACTAACGTGTAAGTTATTTAAAGATTTGTTGCTTTGTGGGGTTGACATTTCTTATGAACTAAAATAGATTTTCTGGATAACATTTATCTGATTGAAAAGAGAAAATAGGAAAAAAATCTGAATTTCAAATGATTGGTTTACATTTCTATATTGCATTGATAAGTATTGTAACATCAAAACAGAAAAGAAAGTATTTGTTTATGATAAGTGTCAACAACACAAATTTAGCCATTAAGCTTGGAAAGCTGGTGTTTGGAGGTGGCAGTGTATAAGTAAGGTGATTTCAGGACCTTCCTCAAGGCTGCCCCATGGTATCTTCTTGATCAGGGCAGATTTTTCAAAGTTTACAAACCTTTTAATTTAAAGTGAGAGGAAGAAATTAGCATGACGGTTTGACACTTGTTAAGAATCTAAATTGTAAGAACCATGTTGAAGTTGGCATTTCTTGTGGGATTCATTGTTCACCTCATTTGCAAGACAAACCATTGAATGAAAACATAATGTCAAACATTTAAAGCCTTCTTGGGTGCAGAAAGAAACTGCCAAATTGTCTGATGCCTGAAAATTCATAGCTAACTCAATGCTTTGACATGTATGCTCAGTTGACAAGTGTAAAGATCTGTGAGCTTTTGAGAATATGACTTTGAGAAGGGGAGGATGAGGGTGTCACAAGTTTGGGGATGTTAGAGGAAGTAAAGGTAGGCATATTTTTTTGTATGAAGTTTGGTTTATATTCATAATCATAATCCTTATTTATTGTACCACCAGCGTTAGCGCTGGCGGTACACATGGTTTCGGTCTCGTCCGGATCGTTCCGCCGGCTCCGCCNTGATAAAGAGACTGAATATGGCCAATTTAAAAACTTAAAAATTTTATTTAAGTTTATAAAATGGCAGTAATTTATTATTAATACAAGAATTGGAATTTTAAAATTCTCTTTGAAGTAGTCACCTGGAGAGGTGCTGAACAGCAATTGGGCTCTTTTTGCTAGATGTTGTCCCTCTGGTGTCCAGCATGTCAGCAGGATGAGGACAATATTGATCGGAAATGGTGATTTTTATAACAATAAATTTTTTACAAATATTTTTGTCTTGTTATTTATTCCAGTGACACAACATGAAGATCCATTTGGCATTTTAATTCTTATTAATCAAAAATTCAAACAATTTCTCTGAATTATATTTCCAAGTAATGTGGATGATAAAATTCTTTATAAATGTGGAATTAATCGCACTTAAAAACCCACTTATGTTAAAATTGCATTAAAAGAATAAACCAATTCTGTCCACAAATTACTTCACTTATGTAAGTGGTAGTAAATTCAATTTTACCTTACATGGATCTATTACTTGACTAACAATGTCTTGGTCATATGAGATGATCACAGATGGAAACACCTCCATGTCTGCCATCTCAACTTAAGGGATTTATAGCAGTTAACATAATACTTTCAAAAAATCAATCAGTAAGTTGAAGACATTCAGTGTCTCTCCTCACAGACATGCGTCTTATTCTTTGCCATACACTTCCATGAGGGTGGAGGTATCAGGTTTGCCTTTATAACAGATTTGTATGTCCATAAGTGATTATTATGCTCAAGGCCACATTTATATTCATCTACAATACATAGCATTCAAGGACGTCCTCTGTTCTGTTACAAGGTGTCATTTTGCTGAAGGCATTGCTGATCCAGCGCCTATCCATTCTTAGATTTTTGTGTGAAACTAATGCTGGCGAATTTCACTGCATTTTACCGAGTACGTTTTTCCTTTCCTTAATGTCTCGTTCCCACTGTTTTCTGGTCATTGTGTATATTCGCATGGCAGCTTGAGCATCCTGAACCTGAAATACAAACTCATTCCTTGAAATTTCTAACATAAAGCAATCTTATAATTAAGTAACATCAAACCAGCTCTTTAAAGTTTAAAATTATAATGAAAATATATTGTATTCCCAATGGATTCTAAAGGTTGACTGTGTACTGAGGCACAGTCCAGGTTGAACTACAACATTACTCCTTACCGAATTGTGTTCCCCTTCTTGCACTTTGACACCTAACAGCTTGTCGGTCAGCTTCTTAAGAGAGGGCGTCTTCCCATTAAAGAGTTTTCTGAAGGGTTTGTACCTGGAGGTGTCCCTGATTTGCTTCTTAGGATGATCTAAGTAGAGCACCTGAAGTAAGAGAACAAAGTTAACTACTACATCTGGATAGGTTCAATGTCTTATCAACTTAATAATACTAGTGTACAATTACCGTGATTTATATTTAAGGTGTGATCATTTTCATGCTTATTAACATAAAGCTGCACAAGCTTTACAACAGACAAAAGGTTAGACATTACTTAATGACTGATTATCAACCTGGTACAATTTATAATTGTGAGTAATTCATTTTTTAAAAAACTGAGTACTTGAACATCACCAGTATTACACATGTTATAGGTACTTTGCATGGTGATATTGCAGTTGTCGTAAGTTACCTTGAAATCATTCATAATGGCATGGCCAACTACCACTCGACCTTTGAGGATTTTGCCAACATCTTCTTGAACTGATTTAAAGTCTTCTCCTGTAATAGAAAGAACAACTTTTCAAGAGGAAATAAATTTTAAAGGTTAACAGATCAGATGGTGAATTAAATCATAGATGCGATTTTTCTGGGATTTTTTTTCCTTGGGGGGGGGGGGGGATTTCCATTTTTTTTAAACTTCATTTTCTTAAATTTCTTTTTTTTAAGTTCATTTTTTACATTTTCTGGGATAAAAGCTCAACATTTTCATTTTTCAGCCCCCCCCCCTCACACACAAACACACACACACACACACAAAGCACATCCCTGTTAAATNGGGGGGGGGGGGGGATTTCCATTTTTTTTAAACTTCATTTTCTTAAATTTCTTTTTTTTAAGTTCATTTTTTACATTTTCTGGGATAAAAGCTCAACATTTTCAATTTTCAGCCCCCCCCCCTCACACACAAACACACACACACACACAAAGCACATCCCTGTTAAATTGAAATAAATAACACAGGTCTTAAAAAAAGCATCTTTAAAAACAAGACATGGACCTGTAAGTATGAATACACATCCTCAAATGTAATCACAAACAATTACCCTGCTGAAGTAAATCTTCCTTCCTGATCCCACTCACTGCCGTCCTGTAGTCCGTCACTTCCTCAGTTGGGGTGACGTATTTGTCTAGTACGCACTGTCCATACTGGTTCACAATGGACACTCTGGCCAGTATACTGTCCTTGCCCCCAGCTCCAACACCCACCATCTCACAGTCCATAGCCAGCACTTTGGTCAGCCTGACACAGATACAGATACAGGAGTCATAAAATTAAGGCTTCTTTTGCTTTTCTGATGATCATCATTACACTGTCTACACTGGTTGACAGTGGACACTGGTCATAGCCTCCCTGACTGTCCTAACACCGACCACTTCACACTTCATGACTTAACCTTGATCAAGATGAATTTCTGAATGCTGAGGAATCAGCACTTTGGGAAAATGGACAGGTTAATTTTATGAAAGCTGAGATATTTAATTCTTTATATACTTTCGTGTATAGGCTTCAAAAACTAATGCCAAATAACTTGCACATATTAATCATAAATTGGCAAAATTATACATTATTCATGTATATTGATAGAAACCTGTAAATTTAGCTACTGGTAAGATATTAAGCATGAGCCCAAGGATAAGAGTAATATATCTATGTCATAAATTATATGGTTATTACTTTTTTTCAAAACTTTTTCTTTTTTCTTTTCATCATTTTCATTACACAAGGTTAAGTTGTAAGAGATACTGACCCTTGGTACGACTCTGGCTTTACAAGAGGATCAATTTTACTGCTGCTGCTTACTTTTCCCCTGTTTGCCTCCAGGAAGATTTCATCCACATCATCAAACCATATGTCTGGTTCCCTAAAACAATATCATCCCATAATTGTTATACACAATAGCAATGGTTAACTCTTTCTCTGTTGAAGAATAATTTGTAGAAAAACTGCTGGATAGTTGAAACTGAAGGCATATTGGAAATATCAGAAAATAAAAAGTACAAACAGAAAAGCCCTTAAATCCTTTAAATCTGAAATTTCATGAATAGTTATCCAAACAGAAATTCTCCAATATAATTCACCCTGTAAATAACCACATTTGTGAGTTTAAAAATATCTATACTATTGTACTAAATCATACTTATTGCTGGACTGTTCCTGTCCTTCTTGTCCCATTTCTCTGTCTCCCTTTGTGTGTCTTTTTCCAAATTTATTTTTCTTTTTTCTATTTGGATCATTCTTCTTTTCAACTTCTAATTTCTAGGAAAAAACAAACATTATGTGTTAATCATTATCTTATATCAATGTCCAAAATGAACATCTGAAAAAAATGCAGATGACATTTTACATCAGGTTAGTGATCTATAGCTAGATCAATGGATGTCACTATAAATTTTAGAAATCTTCAGAGTTAAATAATAATATTCCCAGACTGAATGTTGAATTTGATGCTTACTGCTACTAACTGTTTCCAATTTGCAGATGCCTGGTGTGCCTTTTTGGGAACTCTGCTGACTGGCTGAATTAATTTTGTCTCTTTAACCTCTTCCGTTTCCCTTCTTTTCTTCTTCCATTTCATCCTTCTGTGTTTTAGTTTTCTTTTCAAATGTACATTAGTCCCTGCCTGAACCTTCTTCTGCACATTTTCATTTCCTATGCCTGTATTGTGCTTCACTGAATCACTTGTTAATAAACTGCCTCTTGAATCAGATGTGGCTTTATCACAAGACTGCTGTTTTTTTACATTTGTTTTAAAGGTCTTCTTGTGATTTTTCTTCTTTACATTCATGTGATCTATATGTGATTTGCTGTTAAAAGAACTGTTTTGCCCTTTATTTTCAAACTGCAGGCTAGTCCTCTGTTCTTTCACTTCTATGGAAGTTGGAGTCAACTTTTTAGTCTTGTGAGCATCTTTCAATTTTGATTTTATTTTAGTGGTACTGTTCCCTTTGTTATGGATCTTTTGTCTTTTGGTATTAATTGCATCTGGTTGTTCAGAATGCTTTCTCTTTTTTGGCATTGTGGTCATGATGAAAAGCTAAATAGAAAGAGATAATCTTGGGTTATCATTTAATTACTTATATATGGAAGCACTTAAATTAACATCCAGTCCATCACCTTGAAATCATCTGACCTACTGCAACTGATAAACAGCCATGCAATAAGCTACAACTACAGTTGTACATATAGGATCCAACACATGGTGGATCCTAACCTAAAATTAGGCACTTTGATAACACATTAATAGGAAATGCAAAGGATTTTCCTTTTTTTCAGCACTTAACTACAGCTATTTTTTATTTATTTATTTTTTTTTTGCCTTTGCTATTTAATAACTTATTTTTGCCTTTTATCCACTGCCTTTTCAACACCATTTACTTTTGCAGCAAAAACCAAAATAGCTATAGTTAAGTGCTGACAAGACTAAAATCATCACATTACTGAATTGAGAAAACATACTGACTTGTGTGTATAAATGGGCACACACACACACAGAGAGAGAGAGAGAGAGAGAGAGAGAGAGAGAGAAATTGGTGTTTTAGAAGTACAAGCGTAATTACAGCTCAGCTTACACGATTTCTTAACATAAAACCCCTCTCTCAAATTGAATACAGAAATCCCACACTAAATTGAGTACTATACCAATATCTTGTCCAAATAAGTAAAATAAACACACATTTGATATTAAAAGTCTGCCAGAGCGTGTTTGCCACTGGGCGCAGCCATGTTGTGACGTCGTCGTGGGTTGTCGTTGTGGAGCCACTTCCGGGTCAAGCTCGGGGTCACAAGGGAAGAAAAGTGGAATATAATCACGGCTCTATTACTAAGGTACACAAAGACTGTGCTCAGGTGTAGTGTACTGGTTCATTGCCGAACGAAGACTCTCAAGGGCCGGGGAAGTTTTTTTACTACAGGCAAGTCTGTTAACTGCGTTATTCTATTATCTGTTGTATATAATGTGAGGATATTTTTGAAAGTTTAGATAAAGTTGGGGATTAATTCTGAATAGATTGGAGTGTACCAGTAATAACATGTACATGCAGTGCCCGTAACTAGCTTTCAAACGCGTGTAATGTTAATACTAACAGATCATACATGGTAAATAAGACCTCCTCTCCACTAATACTAAACTTAAATAATGTGTTGGGATTGTATTACGTTTACTCGTACTTTATCAAAGTAATTAAAATTAAGCTGTTGTTAACTTTTTTCATTTGGATGCATGATACATGTACTTAAAAAAAGTAAAAGAAAAAAAAGTGTAACCGAAGTTGGTACATGTATATTTGGTATTACATGTACTTGCTACCAAGTAGTTCAAGTGTTTTGATAAAGTTGACATAAATCTGCTCATGTTCACAGTATGTCTTTTAAAATTAACAGCAGGTACCAGCTAGTACATGCATGTACATGTCTTAATTTGCCAAAATAGCCAAATCTGGCAATTAATTTAGATACTCGTACATTATGATTAACAAGAATGAAAAACAGGAATATTTAACTTGTTATTATATAAAGTATTTTAGTAATGGACTGTTAGATAAATCTGAAAAAAAAAACCCCAGGTAGTAAAACACTTGGGTACATAGTGAGAAAGTGTTACGTTCTTCATATGTGCGGTAGTAAAAATTATTATTTATACTGTTAAAGTGTGTAGCCAGTTTCACACTGTGAAAATAATTTGCCCTTAGAATTATACCTTTTGAGCATCATATACCTTTCATATTTTGTTTTCGTCTTCAAATAATTATTTTGTGAACTTTGTCAAGGCATACAGTATGTAATAGTACATTACCATTGTGAATTTTCTATTTTCATGTGAATTATATTTTAAATGGTGATGATAACAGTGGCTCATCCTCCATTAAAATATCAGTACTAGCATATTACTTTATGGGATTGTGAACTTTTGGTCGATACCCCCCCCCCCCCCCCCTGCCCTAGCCTAGTCTCCAAGTAGAAGTAACCATGTCCATAACTTGAGTGCTTAATAAACAGTGGTTAACAAACAGTCTTGCCAAACAGTCAATAACACATACACATAAGCAGTGACAGGCACAGTGTTTTCATCTTTATATCAAGTCCTTTCTGTTACATGTGCAGGTACATAACTTTTCATTCAATGGTGGTGACATTAAAAAAGTTTTAAACTTTTACAGAATTTCAACACTTTTTCTTTGATCACTAGGGTATACTTTTTGTATCTCCATAAATAAAGACAAAACTATATNGTAACCATGTCCATAACTTGAGTGCTTAATAAACAGTGGTTAACAAACAGTCTTGCCAAACAGTCAATAACACATACACATAAGCAGTGACAGGCACAGTGTTTTCATCTTTATATCAAGTCCTTTCTGTTACATGTGCAGGTACATAACTTTTCATTCAATGGTGGTGACATTAAAAAAGTTTTAAACTTTTACAGAATTTCAACACTTTTTCTTTGATCACTAGGGTATACTTTTTGTATCTCCATAAATAAAGACAAAACTATATTTTCTATATTTTCTTTTCCACTGTTAAAGAGATTTATAACAACTATTCGTATGAGATTCAAATTCCACAGTTAATACATTGTAAACAACACATAGAAAATAATAAATAAAATCCAATCTGTGCTTGCCATTGGACCAAGTGGACCTTTACGGGTGGTTACCCTCTGTAACAATCTTAGGAGATTATTACAAAAACCACACTTCAAAAAAATCAACAATTCAATAACCATTGGAAAGTATGGGGAAATTGTTGTTGACCCCAAGAAAATGCATTTTATGGCACTTTTACCCACCAAAATAAAGAGCTGTCATACCTTTAATTTTTAGTCACCTTAAGTTTATAATGGAGGTGGAGAATATAGTGAATTTCACTTGAATGGTAAAAAAGTGAAAATTCAGATCTTAAAAATGCAATAAGATATAGTAACTTTCTTGACAGTTTTGGATAACATATGCTGTGTTGATTAAGGGGAAATTGCTGAAATTTCATTTGGTTATATAAACGATACATTGCATCAATAGTAGTTGCCATGAAACAAACCCTGTTTGGTGGGGCCTTAAGCTACATTGTATAACACATGGGTGAACAAACCAATCTTCCTGGTTATCTGTACATAAGCCTTGCCAAATACATGTAGTTGAATTTAGTACCAGTAAATATAAACATATACTGAGCATATACATGAATTGTATAGCCTAAAAGAAGCTTGGAAAGCACATGCACTCTTTATGTTTTAACAAGGTGTTAACTGGCAAAATATATATTTATAAAGGAGAGAACTACAGTGTATTTTCACTCCACTGTAATAATGAAGTGTATTTCATACATGTATATTATGCTGTGTGGTCTCTTTTTTGACCATTTGTAATATGAGTCATTAAATTTCTATCATGTCAAAACATAATTTGTCTAAATTTGATAGATCATAATCTTAGAGTCTTAGACTATGTGAACATGTATGTAAAAAGTACAGATAAAATAAATAATTAAATTTCAATAAGATATTACTTTTTTGATTTTTCAGAAGTAACAGTATATCCTTATAGCTGAAATCATTAGGACTGGAAAATATAGCAAAATGGCTTCAAAATATAAGTAAATGATTGTGTCCCATAAGAGATAATGGAATCAAGATTTGGTTCAGAATGAGAGACTCTGGTGTCTGGATGCCATGTCGGTGATCAGTACATCTTCAGTGTCCACTTCCTCCAGTGGGACCTTCACCTCTCAGGCAGGTGCTGGCACTCCAGGGGAACAGAAGGCTGCAGTGCTAAGGGAGTTGCTGATATGGAGAGGAGTAGACTTGAGGAAGGTATATATATATATATATATATATATATATATATATATATATATGTTTTTTCTTTGTTTAATCATTTATTGGTGAGAGAGCAGCAGTCATCCAGAGCAACTACAAACTTGTCATTCACTTCATTGACCTCTCCACAGCTGTGACTTGGTGAAGACATAACTGGCAAGCCTGTCAGTGTCACATAAATTCATGATTTAAAGAAGGGAAAATAAGCTGTTTTAAGCAGAGAAACCAACAATGAAAAGCATTCAAAGCCGAAATAGATGAAGTACTTTTTCAAGATGGATTACGATGAGTGGGACTGAGGGATTACCATAAGAATTTAAAAGAAGTTAAACATATGCTAAGTAGTTCTGTTCAGGAATTCTAGCTCACTTTGTACCATGGTGTATTTTAAGTGGGAAAATTACATAGTGTTCGTAATAAATTGGGGTTGTGCTTCAATGTGAGAGTTTGGAGGGGGAAGAGAGAAGGGGCAAGCATATAATCTGAGTGAAGTGGTGCACAGAGGACAAATGCCTTCATATTCCCAAAACAATTAGAATGCAGATAGTCCAGTATATTTTTTACTGAGTTTACTAGCAATTGCAAGTAATCATGTACACATACCATTTTGATGATTGAATGTAAAAGTTTAAAAACATAAATTCATGATTTAAAGAATGTAAAAGGTTTAAAAATATTTTGTATTCAATTTCAGATAGACTTACCTCCTCTTCCTGTAGTACCAAAGGAAAAACTTAGCATGAGTGAGTTTTACAGCTATTTATTATATTTAATAAAGGCATTTACTTAAATAAGAGAGGATTTTGGTGTAAACAGTTATTAATAAAAAGAGGGTTGGATAAGAATTATTCAATTTTTGAAGTGCTGCAAAAGTTCTGTATTTTCATGATATACCTGTGATTTAGCTCTATTTTGTCTTTAATTTCAGGCGATGCTTGGGACTGTGACAACCAGGCTGTGAGACAGTTAGTAAATGTAGGTATACAATATATATAGTATATACTTGGGACTGTGACAACCAGGCTGTGAGACAGTTAGTGAATGTAGATATACAATATATAGTATATACTTGGGACTGTGACAACCAGGCTGTTAGTTAGTGAATGTAGGTATACAATATATATAGTATATACTTGGGACTGTGACAACCAGGCTGTTAGTTAGTGAATGTAGGTATACAATATATAGTATATACTTGGGACTGTGACAACCAGGCTGTTAGTTAGTGAATGTAGGTATATAATATATATAGTATATACTTGGGACTGTGACAACCAGGCTGTGAGACAGTTAGTAAATGTAGGTATACAATATATAGTACATACTTAGGACTGTGACAACCAGGCTGTGAGACAGTTAGTGAATGTAGGTATACAATATATAGATGATACTTTTCACCAGTAGTTAATGATAATATTTATTATAAATAATGAATATAATAATAAATAATATTCATTATAAAACTGCATTCAGCTGGATTTAAAGTAGTGTGCTAACCAAGACTTATACCCCGTTCACACTACAGTTGCAAAAATGCGCATTTCTATAATCCGAATTTTTCGTGAGGAATTCGATTCGGTATTGCGTTCACACACGCTAAGCGAAACCGAATTACACGTTGAAATTTTCAGGTTTAACTTCCTGTTTTGAACACTCGCGCATGCGCCGCACAGGAAATCTTAAATACCAACAAAAATTTGTGACGACAAATGCAACTCTAAAGACATTCCAGCATTCTTGAGAAGTATAAGATGGCAAAATAAGTTTATTTCCTCATGTTGTAGTGAGTGGTGACCTCCAAATACGTTTGGTGCAATCGCTAAAGTAATAAACAAGCGTTCATAGATACTCCCACTTATCTGCACACATGCGCAGTTAGATCTGTACAGGTGTCGATTCCGGTAAGTTATCCGGATCGCGCTTAGAAATCCACCTCGCTTGCAGGATTTTGAAAATGCGCATTACAAAAATCCTCTTGCGTTCACACTACTGCATTTATTCGAATTGTGACCTAATTCGCAATTTATCCGGATAACTGAGCGTAGTGTGAACGGGGTATTAGTGAAGCCCAGAAGTGACTGTACAGTGCATAGCTTTATAGTAAGTGGAATTTTTTGCTAGGTTAAAACCAAATGAACTCTGACTAAAGCCATGAAGTTGAAGTTATACCAAAATTTAACTATAAAACATAAATATTTAATGCTCTTTGTCTATTTTTAAATAAGTTTTGTGCTTTTATGTAGACAGTTTCTTTGAAAAAGAAAGATGGTAGATTTTCAAGATGTTAATATGGTGAAGGTTAAATTTTGCAGTGAAAAGAAAAAGAAAGATGAAAGTGAACGTCTATAGGTTGAATTTCCATTTTTCTCAAAACCTTTCAAAACTCCTTACTGTGTGGGATGGGCAGCTAAACTAGTTTAAGACTCCTCAAGAAGCCATCTCCTTGGAACCTTTAATCCTGAGCAAGTGGTCTTTTATACCTCATGTTTTTCATCTTTTATTGGAAAATAATGAAAAAGTAAACAAGAAGCCAAGGCAAACATTAGAATCTATCGAATCAGAGTGAAAGACCACCTTGATATTTGATATGTTATGCTTCAAAACATACAAGCGAATGACTAAAGGTTTTATGGCAGCAGTGTTATTGCTATGAATAAATTATGAACAATGGGAATGTTTTATGGAAATTTATTTCAAATTCATCGAGGATGAAATTTTCTTTGATTGAGTTTGATGAATTGATTTGCTTTAGATCCATGTTTGTTTGGTGTTATCAGAGGGACCAGCTGCTGTGCATTATAGAAATCAATAGGGAAACGGGCACTCTTTGAAGTGTGCACATGCATAGTAATGAAAGGGAATGTATTATGCATAAAGCTGTTAAGGTTGAAGTTATTACCTTGGAAATGTCACCTATATCTGGGTAGTAGACAAGGCCTACATATGTGTAGAATGTGAACATTTTGCATTTCATACTTTGATTAGTTGCCCCTAAGAAGCATGATACACAGGATTTACTGTATTTTATTATTTTAAATGATAATTTGGTTTAGAATATCATTTATAGTCAGTAATTTTGTTTTAACAGTTATTAAAAGGTCTGAGTATATATTTCAATTTTTTAAAAATGAAAATTATTGTTTGAACATTGTAGCAACTGGCTTAGGTGATAGAATGTAAAGTGAGTGCTATGGCAAGTAAAAAAATAAATTAACTTTGTGCATATTGATTTCTTCTGAATTAGTTTTGGTTAATTAAAGTTACTGATGTCTTAAGGAAATGCAAGATGGATTAGAATTTTTTAATTTTAGAATTTTTTTATTAAGATTTGCCATCACAGAGCCAGATTAACAAAAGCTTGGCTCTGGTGGTAGAGGGATGAAGGTAAAAAGGTATTTAACAGATATTATTGATTCTATCCAGATTCCCCACCATAAGGCCCGGCCCGTCCGGTTCAAGCCAGGCTATGGCGGCCCAGAGGTCAGAGTGAAGAGTGCACCATCCAGAAGAGAGCCACTTCAGGAGTGAGTAAACAGGACTTCTGTGAGATTGATATCCAAACTATCACCAAATTCTCCCACTCCAAACTTTCACACAATCAATCAGTTACTATTATGGGTCATTTGAAATATTAGGAAAAAGGGCTCTACCTTGAACTTTTTTCATTGATAAATCTGTGATGACAGCTTTTAAATATGTTATATAATCTACTTTTGTTAAAAGGGTTATTAATTCATTGTTAAAATGTGTTTTCCAAAACAATCACTTAATCATGCATGCATTCCTTTTATGGCATTAACACTGTACTAGTAATGATTTTGAACAGTTTAGATATATCCAAAGTTCTGAAATTATTCATAAATCCTTACCGTATTATTGGCTGAAAAACCTATCTATAGACAACCAGTGATAATCGTAATCTCTGCATTGATTAATTTTTCTGACTTTGTCTTTCATAATTTTAGAAAAGTGGGATCTGGAGTGTACAGACGGAGAATCTCTACAGATTCTGAACGTTCTAGTAAATATGGCAGACCCAAACCTCACATCTTGCCAACTATCCAACTCCATAACCCATTCAAGCCACAGGGCAAGTACTTCAAGTATACAGTGGACTTCTACAAGAAGAAAAATAAAAGTGAATTAGAGAAAACTGATTAAGGCAGTCTCTGTCTATTGTAGAAATTTTAGCAGATGCCGAACAGAGAAATGATTAGCAGAAAATAAGAATATATAAGAGGAGAAATTTTACAAGGGATGTGTGAATGGAGGAATGATTTGGATATTCTGTAGGAATGTAGTGAAATGTTTGCATGTATTGTACAACATACATTTTTGTATGATTTGTACCCATCAGTGTAATTTAGACATACAGGCTAGAAACTATGAAATTACATGTGCAAATGCAAGGAAGGCAGTTCTTCACAAAGTGGAAGCTAATGCTCTGGTCCCAGATGACAACAGAGGGTTGTGAGGAACACAGTGTATCATATACTGCTCATGTAGAGAGACACAGCAGGAATAGTGGAATGTGTTCCTATTGATTATGTGATATCCCACAGGGTGTGACTGATAATTTTGTAACAGACTACTAGTGCACCCTGTTTTCAGAGAGTAATGTTAAGTTACTACACTGGGGTTTAGTGAATACCCTGAAGTTTAGATCTGTGATAA